GTGAGGGGCCCCCGGGATTCTCACTGTTGATGACAAAGACGGGAGACCACCCAAATAAACAGGAATGGCAGAAGGGAGCTTCTTCTAGTATGTTCAGGCAAAGCGGTAGAAATAGCTGCAGCATGACCCCCCCCCCCTCAGGCCAGGCTCCTGGGCAACAAACGTCTGGGCCTGTGGATCATCAGAGTCCTGTCTTCAGGTCAGAAGACAGCTGAGGCCGTAGATGGAGATGATCACCCCATTAGCATGCTTCTGGTGTGGGGGCCCTGGTCAGAAAGACCCCATCCCACACCCGGCCAGGTCCATTTGCTGGGGACAGGTCGCACAAGGGGACAATGGGATGCCAGGACCCTCTAGGAAACTCCAAACTCCTTGAGGAATGAAAGCCAGGAGTAGGAGAAGAATCAGGGAAGTAAAGGATAGTGCTGTCTGTTTCCGGGGGGTCAGGCTGGAGGGAGTGGGACAGAAGTGAGCCTTGCCAACACCCAGTGACGCTCCATGCCAGCATACGGAGGCAGGGACCCTGAGGGGCAGGGACTGAGGCGGAAGGCCTAGGCTGGGGATCCCAGCTTCTCTGCGGGCCATTCTTCAATGCCAAGGCTGCCATGTCGATCTACTGCCGACTGCAGATGCCCCAGCCCCTAGAACCTCAGGGACATCCTGATGGTGGGGGAATGGGACTTGCACAGAAAGAGGCAAACCTCTCCCTGGACATGAGTTGCTGGGTAAAGTCAGGAAGAAACTCCGTAAGGCAGGCTCAGGGATGAGTCTCCCTCGACCCTTCCAAAAAGCAGGCTGTATGCATGCATGGGGGAGGGTGTGGTAGGTCAGGACATAGTTTAAAAGATTTGGTGTTTTATCCTCATCTGTTGCAGTCTCCAGCATAGAATTCATACTGCACACATTACAGGGGGCTGCAAATATTTTCTCCAAAGGTAAGAGAAAACTGCTGGCTAACTAGGGCTCCTCCTAGGAAGTGGCCCGCATGCATTTTCGTGGGGAAGGATAGCTTCAGGTGAAATCAGGAGGCCTGCACAGACAAGGAGCGGGGTGTGCTGCTTAGCGGAGAGGGGTGGGTGGATGAGAGGAGATGGGGTGGAGTCCCAAGCAGGGACAGTGGCTCTGTCCCTGGCATGCGCCCTCCTGAACTGTGCATGAAGTTACTAACCCTACAGAGTGCCAGGCGCCAGAGGGATTCCTGAGCAAGGGCTTCGAGTCCAGCTGAACTCAAGTCAGGATGAGTCCTAAATGTCAGAGGTCTACGGAGCACTCACACGTGCCAAATGAAAGGTAATTCCACCTGGGCGGGGACGGAGACCAGCGGGAACCAGTGATGGCAAAATTAATGAAGAGTTCTTTTATTTTTTAGAATCTTCAGATGGAAAAGTTCAGAATCATTAAAAACATGAAACAGAATGAATATCACCTGGAACGGGGCAGGCTCTGGAAGCAGGGCTTCCGTGGCATTGGATGAGCCCCGCCCACCTGAGAGGCAGCAGGTGGGGGGAGGGCGGATGGCAGAGGGACATTCTCATCCCAGGCCCTGCTGAACCTCGTGTCGGAAAGCCACTAATAAGAAATATAAAGTTTCCCTTTTTATTATGGAGCTAAGAGTCTATTTTAGGACTGTGAAATGCAACTTTAATAAGTAAATGCCTAAGCCATTAGCACGTGAAGACCAGCACTGCTGCAAACTAAAGTTGCGTTTAGTCCACAGATTCATCCATGCAGGGCCAGAGCTTGGGGTCTAGTGAAATTTAACATCCATTTTTGAGGGGTCTTTGAATCTCCTGATAGGGCCCATCTTCTATCCCCAAGACCTATGAGAGTGTGGGTGCGCCACAGTGTGTGGCGATGCTGGGAGCATGCCGGCATGTGAGCCCCGTGTGCTCCCGTGTGCAGGTGTGCGAGCCCGTGTGCTCCCGTGTGTGTGCCAGCATGTGAGCCCCGTGTGCTCCTGTGTGTGTGTGTGCCAGCATGTGAGCCCTGTGTGCTCCCGTGTGTGCGTGCAGGTGTGTGAGCCCGTGTGCTCCCGTGTGTGTGCAGGTGTGCAAGCCCATGTGCTCCCGTGTGTGTGTGCCAGCATGTGAGCCCTGTGTGCTCCCGTGTGTGTGCAGGTGTGAGCCCGTGTGCTCCCGTGTGTGTGCAGGTGTGTGAGCCTGTGTGCTCCCATGTGTGTGCAGGTGTGTGAGCCCATGTGCTCCTGTGTGTGTGCAGGTGTGTGAGCCCGTGTGCTCCCGTGTGTGTGCAGGTGTGCGAGCCCGTGTGCTCCCATGTGTGTGCAGGTGTGTGATCCCGTGTGCTCCCATGTGTGTGTGCAGGAGTGTGAGCCCCTGTGTGTACGCCCGTGGGGACTATCTGCTACTGCCTGTAGTATAGGTGTTTGTGTGTCTGACACACGTCTTTTCTAAACTGCTGCTCTCAGTGCATTAGTGGCTTTTTCCCACCAAGCTCGGAGCAGAGGAAATGAATGCAATGTAATGTTGCTACAGTGTCCAACAAGTCAGAAATCAGAAAATTCTCCCAGATAAGGCTGCTTTACACAGGGCTGGCTTGGAGTTTACCAAGAGACAGCTCAACCACAGGCAGTATTTCTTTTAAAAGGGTCTCCTTCCTGCCTTCTTCCTCCTTTTCTGTCCTTCCCTCCCTTCCATTTCCTCCCTGTGCCTTCCAACAACTGCCGAGGCGGCTGACAGCCTGGCATGCGGTACGTACAGGCCTGCCGCGCGGCCCACAGAAGACCCCTCCTTGGGCCCGTTACCCTCGCCGTCTGACACACGAAACCACCGTGATTCAGAGCGACAGTGAGATGCATCCAACACTGCACCGCTGGGGAGGGGAAGGTTCTCAGGACGGGCAGGCTATTTCCCCCAAGGTGGCAAAAGGAACTTGGGGCCACAGGGCCTGCACCTCAGTTTACCGATAATATCCCCTATTCTGGAGCACAGGGAGGGCTGCTACCTAACACAGGACTTCCTAACGGACAAGTGAGAGGCAATATGCTCACCACGGAGCTGGGATGTGGAGATGTCCAAGAAACGCCCTCCCCACCCATCAAAGAGCATGGGCAACAGTGGGACCGTCCCTCTGCTGGGTCGCTTTTCCTGTTCATTACAGTTGCACCTGCAGCCCCAACCTGTACCCATTTCATCAGATCCTAGGTAGCAGGCTTCTCATCGGGACCTGAAGGTCTCCATGGGCTCACAGAAAGACCTGGCATTTATACTCAGCCGTCTAGGGGGAGAGTCTTGGAACTGGGGCATCTAGACACCAGCTTCGCCAGTGATTTACTGGGGGCTCCTGGACTTCGTGGTCCATCTGTGAACCTCGGCTCTACCACCTACATCAAGGTTCAGGAAACTATAGCCTGGAGGTCAAATCTGGCCCACTATTTGTTTTTGTCCATAAAGTTTTATTGGAACACAGCTGCATCCGCTCATTTACAAATTGTCTGTGGCTGCTTTCATGACACAGCTGAAAGCATTACACCACGTGTGGTGACCTGAGGAGTGTCTGAGAAGCTCCCGGCCACTAATCCCACCACCCTCGGGTCCATCTGCTGCTCCGGACTCTAGAGAAATGTCCCCCAAATGCAGATCTGACTATGTCACCTTCTTACTTTAAAACTTTCAACAGCGGGCATGGGGATTAACTGGAAATAGGCACAAGGGAACGTATGGGGGTGATGAAATGTTCTAAAACTGGTTTACGGTGATAACTGCACAACTCAATAGCTTCATTTAAAAACTGCTAGATTGCACACTTAAAATAAGTGGATTCTATAACATGTAAATTGTACCTTGATAGTGCTGTTTGGAAAAGAAAAACAATCTTTCAACAGTCCCAGGCCAAGACGACCTGGAGCTCATGGGCTGGCAGCAGCTTGTGCACTGTCCCCAGTCCACAATGAGATGAGCAGGAAAAAGCGAGAGAGCTGTTCAGAAACCGTCACAGCAATTTGGCATTGCTGTGACATCTTTATTGCCATTTATAAAAGTGTAAGTCTTTGAGCCCCGACCAGTTAGTTCATCTGTCTAACCAAATACACCAATAAATGTCACCCCAACAAACCAAGATTGTGGGTTCGATCCCTTATCAGAGCACATACAAGAAGTAACCAATGAATGTATCACTAAGTGGAACAATGAATCGACGTTTCTCTCCCTCTCTCTCTCTGTCTCTTTCTCTCTCCCCCCATTTCCTCTCTCTCTCTTTCAACTAAAATCAATAAATAAAAGACTCTAAAAAGTGTAAGCCCACAACGAGTTGAGGAAGGAGCTGGTCCTTCGCCACAGATAGTTTAAGTAGCACTGCTCCAGGCTGGAGAATAAACTGAATCTCTGCAGCCTGGCACCCAGTGCCCTCCTGCCTGAGTCGCCCCTGTAGGCCCCGCTCCCTGTATGTCTCCTTTACTGACTTAGCGTTTTCAAGCTCTGCCAAAACCTTTCCCTCACTCCACAAGCCCGTGGCCAGCCCGATCCCTGACAACTCAAATGCCTTTCTCTTCCTTTTCCCATAATTACTTATTCGCCCTTCAAGACTCAGCTTAGCTGTCATCTCCTCTTAGAAGCCATCCTCACTGCCTTCACCCCAAACCCCCTCGTTTCCAGGGGTGAACTTTGATTAGTTAGCCCCTCCATCTGAACCCCCACTTGCTCCCCTATTATACAGGAGAATCACGGCATCTTCCTATTAGATAATAGCCCCTCCCTCATCAACTATTTTTCAAAAGGCTTCAATGCCTACGTTCCCCCAGCATGCTAGGGAGCCCAATGCACCTGCTACATTGTCATTACTTAATACATTAGACTCCTCCTCCAGACCTTGAGCCCCAGGGAGGCAGGGCCTGGCTGGAAGGAGAGGCTTGGTCAACAGGTGTTGAACAGACATGAGAGCAATTAAATGCAGTCCTTTCTCAACTTACCAACTCTAGGCAGGCAAGAGGGATATAGGTCAATGATTACTTTTTTAAAAAGTCAAACCATGATAAAACACCATACCTGGTAGAAATGTGGCCAGAAGGTGCTGATGGCCAGCTCTGCCTTGACCCAGCCCTCCGTGACGACGCCGGACACGTTCCAGACGGGGTTTCCCTGGGGCCCGCCGTTCACCTTCACGTAGACATTCAAGGCGCCCGGGCTGGACCGGTCGCGGCTGGAGAAGTAGTAGTGGAAATCGATGCAGTGCGTGTCGTTCTCCTTCAGCGTTGGCAGGAGGAGGTGGGCCTTCTGGCCAGAGGCCCTCCCGGAGCTATTCACCATCATGAAGGACCCTGGAGACCCACAGAGGGGCGGGAAGTAGACAAGGAGAGAGAAAGAAAAATCCTCCTGAAAACCAGCTGCACCCATCCGCACAGTGGCCAGAAATCAGGTCACCACCCCGGGAGGGACTGGGTGAGCCCAAGGAAACCACATCACCCTGCTCAACCTGAGCATCCTCCTCTGTAACTGGGAACGGAAAACCCTATTCAACAAGCTGGTTTTAAGATTGAAGAGAGAGTAACATGTACACTGTGTTTCTACAAAGTAGACACTTTGTAAACATTTATAGAAGAGACTTTTTCAGCAGCTCCTGAAGGAGGCGTGGAATAAAAACCCTGGGATTCAGCTAATGGCAACCTCCACTGGTAAAATGAAATGAAATATAACCTCATACAAGTCTGGGCTGTCTCAGTGGAAACAGAACCTTGACAATAAGGGAGGCGACATTGTTCCAATGTATTCCACCTGGAGCCTTGCATTCAGTACAGAGAATATATCAGAGGAGGGCATTTTTTTTTTTAATGTACAATATATTCAACTCGGCAAGGAAGAGCCTCAAGAAACATGAGAACCAACTGGAAGATGTTCAGCCTGGAATGGAGGGTACGTAACACTAAGCACTTAAAGAAGTACCAGGCTGGTGCTAGATGCCTTGTTTATGTACTATTCAATTTAACCTTCAGAATGACCCTGGGAGACAGGATTTTCATTGCATTTAAAGACAGAGTGTCTTGCCCTGGACCACTCAGACAGAGAGAGATGAGATCCAGATTCTCTCCAACCTCAAAGCTGATGCTATTATTACTGTTTGCAGGAAACATGACTACCCCTTTCCAGCATTTAAAAGGCTGTTTCCTCAGAAGGATGTGAGCCCCACTGGAGTTGCTCTGACAGGTTAAAGGGTTGTTTCTAGTTCTCCTCCTCTCCCTGGATCTGTGTCCTTGGCCTCTGGTTTTGCGGAAGGGGTGGTGGGCATGTCCCCATCCTGTGACTTTGGACTGCACTTGCTTTGGCCAACAGGATGCTAACAAAACAGTTCAAGCAGCGGCCTACAGCATGGGCCTCGCTGGGCTTGTCCTCTTGCTCTGATGTCACGTTTCATGAGAAGAATGCACCCCAGGGAGCCGTGGCCCCTTTCAGTTCAGGATGGAGGTCAGACTGACGTGGAGGAGTCCTGAGCAGAACCGAGAGTGAGGAGCCAAGGCATGCCACCCACACAGTGAGAAGCACAGCCACGTGGCCCACAAGCCCAACCTGTAGCAGCAGAACCACACTCGACGCTAGGACTGTGAGTGTGAGTCGGTGCTTACCACTGTGCGGTGTGGCACTGGGTCCCCTCCCAGCAGCTTAGGTGGCGTTACCATGGCAACCACTAACTGACAAAGGGATATGACAGGGCAGACCTAGGGGAGAAACCACCAAGAGGCACATTTCAGTGCAAAGCGCTGTCTAACAATTAGGACTGATGCAAAGTAGATAGACTGCCGGAGACAGAGTGAGCTCCCCGTCACTGCCGGTGACACAGGGCCTGGGAAAATTGAGATGTCTGAGCAAACTTCCTGATCACTCTGAGGGCTGCACTGTGTAGCTGCAAACCCTATGATTCTGTGACATAAATTGCACCATAAAACCTAGTAGATAAACTCAGGCAATTCTGGATGAATATGCTCACCTAGAAAAACCACCGACTCTAACCACTATAATATTCAATGCAGAATGAAACCTTACGACTACTTACCCTCAACCTCAATGAGCCACTATTGCTGTAAGTAGCCTCATTCTTTCACCCTAATTCCAAAAATACTAACAGCTGCCAGCTAGTAAGTGCTCAGCAATCCATATCTTGTTGGGGTTCCAGAGGGTACCAGTCATTCATAGCCCGCCTCCTCTGGGATCTGAATGAATTTAAAAATAGACAGAGCAGAGAGGTAAAGTTCAAAACCTCCACTTCATTATTCCCAAAGCTGGATTCGAGAAAGTAACCTGGACTTGAGGCTAAAGCAGGCTTCCTGCATTTTCTTTCATGAAGAACACACAGAGCACCAGGAGGACCGAGGGTTCCGTCCTTCCAAGTCCACCCCGATCCCAAGTGCCAGTGCCACGCTCAAGGGCTGACCACAGAGGGCTGCCGGGCGGGCTCCTCTCCAAAATAAACCAACGAGGAAGGCAGCAAGGATAGAACCTTGAACCCATGGCTAGCAGACTTTCCCCATCCCACCAATCAGAAAGCTCACCCGCCTCCCGGGGAAGGAACCACTAAAAGTGGGCGAAGGCTGTATCTCCCCCGCGTTTCTGAGAGAGCCAAGTCTCCTCGTTCATGGCTGCGAAGCAGAACAGGGTAAGTGGAGAGATGTCCCTTGTCGGATGTTATTGCTAATGATCAGAGCCTCCCAGTGAGGCAGCAGGAAAGGAACCGCTGCAGGGGTAAACTGAGGCTAGCATCCATGCCAACAGCTGTCTGCTGACCGACTCCCCACAGGGTTCCAGGAGGTCTCCCTGGGAAGGAGGAGTGATGGCCCACAAGCCCCCCAAGGCGGGGTGGCTGCCCCTGCTGCGAAGGAGCGGCACACCCACAGGTCGGGGATGAGGCCTGGGAAGCAAAGGGCGTCTGGCTCTGTCCACCTGGAATCTCATGACGCCCCACGGACAACTCAGCTCCCATCCTCCTGCCGATTCCACCAAGCTCTGTCCTACAGGCCACAGCGAAGAGAGTCGAGCAGGTGTCCCTCCCACCAGCCCAGGTTCCCACTTCTTCTCATCCCAGCTCTAGTGCTGAGGTGCGTCACTGAGAGGTGGTGCCATGTGACGTCCATCCACGCCCATCGTGCAGCCTTAGGGTTGCGGGAGAAGGTGCTGCCCTTCCCTGAAGATGGAGCTGGTGAAAGGGCTTGGCCCTCCGTGGACTCTCCATGCAGCAGAAATTGCATGTTGATTTGCAAACCTGTCCTCTTCATTCTGGGCACATAGTTGGACTGCATTCCCCAGCCTCCCTTTATACAGAGGTGGGCCATGCAACTGCGTTCTAGCCAGTGAGGTTTAAATATGACATGTGCCATTTCTAGGCCTAGTCCCTAAAAGCTGCCCACCTCCAAACACCTCAACCCCCTACCCCTGCTCCATTCTCCCTAATCTTGTCTCTCAAAGGATGGTCCTTGGACCAGCAGCCTCAGCATCTCCAGGGAGCATATAAGAAAGCAAAACCTCAGGCCCCACCCCAGACCTACGGATTCCAAATCTGCACTTCTCGAGACCCTCAGCTGGTCTGTACAATAGGAAGCACAGTAAAGTGTGAGAATCGCTGATTCGTTTTTCCTTCCCACCCACCAGCTGCAAGCACAGGATTCCAAGAGCCTAAGTGACAGGAGAGCCACAACAAAAGGAGCCTGGTTGCCTGAATGGCCATGGCCATGAGAAAGGCCACCCACCCATTAGAAACTCTCATTTCAGACCTTTTGTATCCAAGAAATAAACTATCATTGGGTCATTAAGCCATTCAGATTCTGTAGTTTATTTCCACACCCAGCATTCTTATTATTGTCTTGGCACCCCCACAGAACCCCTACTTCCTCCAAGTCCCTTTATTTAGGGAGATAAGGTGAGGAATGACAGCAACCAAGCAAAGCTGCAAGACGCCCCCAATAGGCACACTGTCAGGAGCAGCATGCCTGAGTACAAAGCAGAACGAAGAGAATGGGATGCATGGACTGCAAGAATGAATCCTGGAGAAGAAAAGGAACAGCCTGGACCTTCCTCAAGATCATCTGTGTCTTAGGCGGGCCAGAGCGGGGTTGGGTCAGGGTCACATACCATGTTCCCTGCCACCACCACCTTGGCCTGTGATGTCCATTTGTGTAACATGTTATGCATGCACTGGCCCTCAGACTAGACAGAAAGGTATGTGTTTTGGTGCTAGGCTCAGAGAAAAGGAAAAGTAAAAGAAAATGATGGCTACCCACACAGCCTATCCCCAAAGGAGAAAAGGGTACAAGCCAGAAGGTTACAGCTCACAGTATCCTGTTCATGGATGTTTTGGGGACACAAGACTCAGACCCTGGATTAGTGTCCTATGACTGTTACAACAAATTACCACAAACCCAGTGGCTTAATACAACGCAAATGTATTCTCTTACAGTTCTGGAGGTCAGAAGTCCACACTTACCATGTTGGGAAGGCTGCTTTCCTTCTGGAGGCTTTAGGAGATAAACCATTTCCCTGCCTTGTCTGGCCTATGGTGGCTGCCTGCATTCCTTGGCACATGGCCCCTTCCTCCGTCTCCAAAGGACATGGCTCCAACCTCCATTTCCTTCAGCACAACTCCTTCTGACGTTGACCCTCCTGCCTCCCCCTTATAAGGATCCCATACTTTGGGCCCACCCAGACAATCCAGCATAATCTCCCCACTGCAATACCCTTAATTCAATCACATCTGCCAAGTCCCTTTTGCCGTATAAGGTGACATATGCACAGGTTCCATGGACATTCTGTCATCGCAGGTATTTCTGATAATATGACCACATAGGTATCCCAAACTAGTGAACCAGAGGTAAAAGGAAGACAGACCCATTCGGTAGCCAGCAGATACACGGTCTACACAGCAGGAATTTCAGAATATTTGAATGTTCTTATGTGAGTATAGAAGGCTCCTTGTAGTATCAGACCTGTCCTCACCAAAGTCTTAGTGGGAGAACATGATATAAAAAGCCAAATGTGGTGTCAGATCATTTCACTCCCAATCTAGACAGAAAGAAAAGGTTTGGGGGTAGGCCTAGAGTAGGTCCACCTTCCATAGCGAAAGCTCATCCGGGCTGCCGCCCCGCGTAGCCACCGCGGTCCCCATCGCTCCTCAGACCCCACCCATCACAGGTGGCTGTTCTCAGGCCACCCTCCAAGGTAACAAAAGTGATGCTCTGAAGTCGAAATGTGCCCTGTGGTTTGACCGCTCGCTATGTGAACTCCCTTCCTGTGTGTGGGGAATCTCCCCAACTTTTTACACAGGGCCTATCTTCCTCCA